TAGGCAACTGTTATAAACTAGACTAAGTACTAAATTCATTTGCATACTCTATGGTGAAACACACCACCCTAGGATATATTGCACCAGTGCTGTGAAAAGTGTAACAAATTACCTACCAGGGAACAACTGTCCCATGTCAATCAACAGTTTGGAAACCCAATCAGATTACCTTTATTTCTTAAGTTGATAACATTTGTTGTGCTTAAGACTAAAAGTATTATAATTACTTTTGGTAATATAGTTGGTTCTTCAGACTGAATTTCCTGCTGAAAACAGCTAAGAGTTCTGAATAAAGTTTTTTAAAAGTGTGGAAAAACTGACAAGATAGAAATTGTTAGGTCACACTCCAGGTAGATCAGTTTCTTCTCCTACCTCCTCACCCCTTTTCTCTCCGTGTTGCCAAAACTCAAGTTATTTGTTCTCTAGAATGTTCCTTATCTCAATTTATCTGTTTTCTTTCTTGTAAAGTGTTGACTTCTTTCTCTATTCCCCATATTCCCTATAAATAGTTCCTAACAGCATTAATATAATTACTTGTTTGTATTATCCTAAAATAGTTTCAAAATAATACCAGTATTGCTACAATTAGATTATAGACTACTGAATAATGTTAAAAATTTCTGTGCAGCTCTGTTTGTTCTGAGAATATATTTCACCAAGGATGTATAGTCAGTTCTGTATTCTAATGCAACATGAAGTAATTATTTTCTTTATATTTTTATATCATCAACTTTACATAAGTAAAGTTAGGTTCATTTGTTTCAGATGTCATCAGTTTTTAGGGACTGCTTAAGTCAAAACTATACAACAAGGTGTATTCAGAGAAATCTTGCTTGTGTATTCCCTCCTCCCTCTTCTCTTCATACTCCTGTTAGAGACTATTTTTAGTTGTTCCTGATCTGTATTTCTTTTTTGCAAACATAAAAAAAGTATATGTGTATATGTTGATGTATTATATGTGCTTATCCCCTTATATAAAAGGTTGCCTACTAAATGTACTGTTACACATCTTGTTTTTTAATTTTTTAATATATCTGGAAGATCATTCCATATCAGTGCTAGGGATCTTTCTCATTCATTTTATGAACGAGATGCATAGTACCACCCTTGAGAGTACACCATGGTTTATTCAACCAGACCCCTACAATGGACATCTGAGTTGTTTCCAGGCTTTTGCTGTTATAAATAATGCCACAGTGAATACTCTTGCTCGTAAGTTATTTCCTTTTTTGCCCTATGAATCTTTGAAAAGATTTCTAGAAGTAGGACTGCTCTGTAAAAGGGTGAATTAATTTGGAATTTTTCTACTTATTACCTACTTCCTCTCTATAGACAATACCATTTTGTAGTCTAGTTCTGTAGACCCTCACTATAGACCTTGTTGTTGAACTTTGGATTTATGTCAATAAGCATAATAGTATCTCAGTGTAATTTTAAGTGTATCTCATTTATTATGAGGAAGGTTGTATATCTTTATGTAAGTTTTTAAGAATATTTAATTTTTTCTATTGTGTTGTGGGTCTTTCCTACCCTCCTCTGTATTAAGGAGGCTTTTTTAATTTCAGAGATAGTGGCCCTTTGACTTAAAGCTGTGGAGGTTTTTGTTTGTCATTTGTGTTTTGACTTTATTATGGTGACTTTATATGTTTGTTTGTGCCATTTAAAAGTTTTATATGATTGGAGTTTGCTTTTATTGCCTCTGGATTTTGAGTCTCAGCCAGGAAGGTTTTTTTCACTTCCAGTTTAAAAAGGACTCCACTTGTTTTCACCTATTAACTTAGATCATTTTATTTTTAATATTTAGATCTTTATTCATCTGGTGTTTATTCCAATGTAGCATGACATATAGATCCAGTTTTATTTTTTTCAAATATATATTCAATTGTCCCAGTACTTCCCCTCCCGCTTTGAGATTAGAGTCTATTTGGGGGCTCCCCATCTGTCCCATTGATCTGTTTGTCTAATGACCTTCCAGTACCACAGTGTTTTAGTTATAGGTGCCCAAATATTTTGCTACTTGACTTTTTTATCAGAACTGGGTGATAACAACAATTACAGGTCACCTCATCTCATGCATTGTATCCCCACTACCTACACTAAACAATACATATGTGATACATGTTTGTTGCAACAAATGAAGTACGTGCTCTTTGGTCTAAGTGTTAGTGAAAAGAGTGCTGAACGAGGAGTCAGGGAACAAATGCAGCATTTTTTTTAATCCTCACCCCAGGGCATGCTTACTGATTTTAGAGAGAGAGAAACATCAGTCGGTTGCCTCCTCTGTGTGCTCCAACTGGGGATCGAACCTGCAATCTTTTCGTGTATGGGATGGCGTTCCAAACAACTGAGACCCTGGCCGAGGCCAAACTTGGCTTTTGATACCACTTCCAAACCAGTCACTTGGTCTCTATGGGCCTGTTTTTTCAGCGGTTAACAAATAAAAGGGGTTCAGCTGGTTGGTTGTCAGGGTGGTTTCTGAACCTGGTTAATGCTGATCTGGTGAGAGCACCGCTGGGATGTGGTGTGTAATTCGGTCTGCGTTTAATGACCCTGTGCCTTGTCCTTTTGCCATATTCATGAAATAAACTTTCTCTTCTGGATCTTGGTTCTTTAATCTTTTCTGTAAGTTTTTCTTTGTTCCAAATTTTTTTCTCTCTTATATTTCTTTTATTAGCTTGCTAATTTTTTCTGCTGCTGATTAGGCAAGAATAACCACTGTTTGGCTGCTCTGCTTCCACTGACCTCAGCTGGGAAAAATTGCATGAAGTAAATAGGAATTATTTTCCCCTTGGCAGAGAATTTCTTAAGAATCAAAAAAACAAAAACCAGCTGCTAACAGTAGTCTGTTTTATTGTACAAAGAGCAGAAGGAGAATAGCTGCCTGTCGTGTTTGAAGAAATCAGCCAAGACCATGAACAGATTGGCTATTCTTAATTTATTTATGAGCCTTGGTATTTTCTTATATTTTTCCATACCCATCCTTCAAGAGGTCAGGAAAGAAGTTGACGAAAAAGAAGAGCAAAAGTATAGAAAGAGCCTGTCAGGGAGCAATTTATATGTAAAATGAGAAAGATTATGATGATTTAAGGCAAGTTTAAGCCGACCAAATATAAAAACATGTCTTACTGTAACAAGAATACTTAAAATTCAAAAGAATAATAGGAAATTCTTAAACTCCTGATTGCTGATAGGTAAAGTACCTTGAAAGTGCAAAGTTTGAAAAACACATGAAAGAAACTTTTTTAAAATTAATTAATTTATTTACTTTTAGAGGGGAAGGGAAGGAGAGAGGGAGAGAACTATCAATGTATGGTTGCCTCTCCTGCGTCTCCTGCCAGGAACTGGCCTGCAACCCAGGCATGTGCCCTGACTGGGAGTTGAACTGCAACCCTTTGGTTCACAGGCCCGTGCTCAATCCACCAGCCAGGGCTGAAAGAAACTTTTTTAACGTAGAAGACAGAGGAGAAACAACATAGTGTGGCAGTAAACATTATGCTTATTCAGGAAAAACAAGCAGCTCAAGGAAGTATTTCTGCAGATAAATAGTTTTAATGCTCAGTAAGGGATGGTTTAAAAGACTTAAAGAGAAACATTATATATGTAAATTTAATGTCCAAAAGCCTGCTAGTTTTTATTGAAGGTGGAGCTTACCATACTACACCATACTACACCATACTACACCATACTACAAATAAATACTATATTTTCTTCAGAAAACCCCAGAACTACTAGAGGTTCCAACTTCACCAATAAGGCACCACCCTTCATCCTAAGTGACTGCTTCCCACAGGAGTTGGGGGGGGCAGGGGGGAAGAACTCGGGCCTGTGAAGCAGCTGGCCCTGCCCCAGGCATCCTTCGAGGGCTCCACAGGCACAGGCCACGGAGCACTTGCCACCTCGACTTTGACAAAGAGCGGTGCGTCCCTACTCTGATAACTCAGATTCATCACTTGTCAGGTCATGGGTAAAAGATTAAATTCTGGGCCTTGGCCAGGTAGTTCAGTTGGTTAGAGCATCATCCCCAATATGCCAAGGTTGTGGGTTCAATTTTGGGTCAGGGCACACACAAGAAGCAACCAGTGAATGCATTAACAAGTGGAACAACAAATCAATGTTTCTCTCTCTGTGTCTCTCTCAAATCAATTTTTAAAAATGAAATTCTGCATAAGAAAGGTAGTTAAAGAATTTCTAGTGTTTAAAGTATGAGTTTCATGAAAGTTGAGAACCATCTGCATTTCAGTACAATCTGTTTTTCTTGGAGAAATCATCCAAATTTGAAATGAAGCCGTAGGAGGTTTTTTTTTATTTTATTTTTTTATTTTTCTTTGTAAGATTTCATGTTGTTTGGGTCCTTAAGGTGTCAAGAGGCTAGTTTCAAAACTTTGGCTCCTCTAATAAGACAGGAAAATGTCTCCATTTTATGGTGCTTGCTCATGTTTTTTTTTTAGAGTAAATTCCTCCAACTCAGCCCCCAATTTTGATATTTTAAAATGTTTTGCAAATGAAAACATATTTGAAAGCTAAAAGGAAATTTCTTTATTTCCTTTTATAAAATGCATGTCCCTGTTTACAAAATACATTTTAATCACTCATCCCTATGAATTTAGAATATTCATTAGAGGTAGTTTAATTTAAAACTAGGAGTTTTGTTTAAAACTTTGAGTATGACCCTGGCTGGTGCGGCTCAGTGGATTGAGTGCTGGCCTACAGACTAGGGGGTCACCAGTTCCATTCCCAGTCAGGGCACATGCCTGGGTTGTAGGCTAGGTCCTCAGTTGGTGCTGTGTGAGAGGCAACCACACATTGGTGTTTCTCTCTCTCTCTCTCTTCTCTCTTCTCTTTCTCCCTTCCCCTATCTCTGAAAAATAAATAAATAAAATCTTTTTTCAATAAATAAAACTTGGAGTATGTATTTAATTTTTCATTTCCTCCACCTCAGACTTTGAAATGGAAAAATAAAATTTTATTTATTCAAGGTAACTTGTTACATAGCTTTCCAGGAAAAAAAAATCTATTGAGTGATACTAAATATACATAGATTCCAAAGTGGTTAAGTTATTCACACATATACATACCATCCACATACGTAAAATATACTCTACATTAAAGTTAAGATGCTATAGCCAATAAATCACTGTTGTATTTAAAAAAAAATAAGTTTCACCATGCCAATGGGCTTTGAGCAGATTTTGGATAGCTCCTGAATAAAAATAAAAATTGGCTACCAGTTGCCATTTAATATATTTCATCATATGAAGACAAACAAAAGAGAGCCCTTTGAAAAAGATTGAAAGTCAGCTAAAAAGTAAGCGGTAATATCTATAATAGTTCTTCAGGTGGGGGTGGCAGGGATTCATTGAGATCTTGATCAGCATTAGGAAGAATCGAGATCTCCTGACATTGGATCTCATTGTTGGAATCTTCCAGGGTTTTCATAAAATCTTCCGGTGGTAGGGACAAGTTAGGTGAGTCAGGGGGAGGTGGAAATGACTGTTTGAACTCAGAATTATGTTCTTCACAAATTTGATCGACACGGTCCAGAGATGGGGGGATACTGGTGGGATCGTTGGGAACAGGTGATAAAATTGTCACTGCAGGTTTATCAGGTTGGTTTCCCTCCTCTCCTTCCAAATCGAGGAGTTGAGGAGGTGGTGGAGGCAGATCTACATCATCAGAAGAAGAAACAGCAGTGCCGATTGTTGACCCACCAGCACTCTCCTCCGATGTGCCATTGACTTGATCTTTCATTTTCTCTGTTTGGGAGTTGTTGGAATCTTCAATGTTTTCGCTTGATTCAAACAACTTAATTTCTAAGTCATCCGCTAAAAGTGTGTTTTTGTTTGGTCTCCAGGCCATAAGTGAAATAATTGATGTACGTTTTGTGGGTGCTTCATTTTCTCTGATGTTATCCAAACACATATCAGGGGTTTCACCATCAGCAAATGGAGACCTGCCTGCCCAATTTTGATCATTTAAAACTGGTTTTCTCAGGCATTTGCATAGTACAATCATGATTGTAGCTACCAGTAGAGAAACCAGAAATACACCAACTATTATGGCAGCTATGTAATTGTAATCAGTTTTACGTGGGGTTTGTGTGATTCTGGTATCTCCTGTGATGAATCCTGGTGTAATCCCAGGTGGCCTTTCATCATCTGGTGGCGTTGGTTTTATGAATGGAGTTTCCATAGTTGGTGGTACTGGTTTTGTAGAAGTGCCGACAGATGGAGGTTGTTGAGTGGAAGTAGAGACAAGTGGTTGCAGGTGCCTGGCAGAAGTACGGGCAAATGTTGATAGCTGTCTGCCAGAAGTGAACACAGGTTGTGCTGTTTGCTGGGAGGAGGTATTGGCCATTGGTGTTGCTTGCCCCGTGGTGTTATAGGCAAGTGTTTGTGCTGCAGGAGTTTGTCCAGCAGGAGTTTGTGCTGCTGGTTTTCCAGAAGCGGTAACTGCTGTTGGTTGTCCAGCAGAAACTTTGGCAGTTGGTGTTGGTTGACCCAAAGGATTCCCTGTTGGGTTTTGAGAATTAGCCAAGACATAGGACGCTGATGAGCTAAGTAAAGTAGACTGTGGTTGCTTCTCTGTTGTAATTGCTTTTATGGGTGAGAAAAATGTATTGTTCAGGTGTCCACAAAACAAGATGAAGATGAAATATTTGGGATCCATTTCAGATTGTTTCCTTTTTCCCACTGGTTTTATAATAAAAAAAAAGACAATTAGGTCTCATTTGATGTCTGGCATAAAGTAGGTAGCTACCTGATAAGTATTTATTATTTCTAATTTGGACTTGATATACTAAAAGCTAGCGTTGTAAATGACTCTTGAATATGCTGTAACTTATCAAACAGCATTTGAACCTTATAGACAGTGTTCTCTCTTAACTCTTTCAGAAGGTCTGTACTTGGCACTGCTGCCCCTCCAGCTTCATTACGTTACAGTCCTTCATTTCACAGCCATACTTCTCAAATGCACAGGCTCCGTGTATCGGTTCCATGTACTCTCTACTTTTTCCTCTTTAGGACTTGAGGTATATTGATCCTGCTGCCTTGAAGGACACCAGATACCATCTATTATTTTATCCAAAGATCTTTCCTTTCTCTTTTTCCCCTCTCTTGACCATATTTGATGCTACTGACTATTCCTTCACCACTTACTACTCAAAGAGTTCTTTGTAGTAGTCTTCCTTTCATATTAATCTCACTAGCTTCTGTTTTTCTCTTGCCTCCTAAATATTGGTACTTGTTATTCAGTCCTCATCTTTTCTATTTTTCTTTGATTCTGAATCTGTAAGATTTCAGTTCTCACCTTTATGCCAAAGCTCCCAAACCTATATATCCAGCCCAGATCTCCTTAACTCTAGTTCTATTTGTATGACTTCTTGGTGGATATTTCCATGTATACATCCTACTATCAACAAACTCAGCATTTAAAACAGAATTCAGCCCTGGCCAGCATGGCTCAGTTGGTCAGAGTATCGTCCCTTAAACTGAAAGGTTGTGAGTTTGATTCCCAGTTAGGGCACATGCCTAGGTTGCAGGTTTGGTCCCCAGTTGGAACGTGTATGAGATGCAACTGATTGATGTTTCTCTCTGACATCAGTGTTTCTCTTCCTCTCTCTCCCTACCTCTCTCTCTAAAATCAATAAGCATGTCCTTGGATGAGGATTAAAAACTAAAACAAAAATAACAGATTTCATTTTTGTCTCAAAACTGACTCTTCTCCCAACTTTTCTATTTTTAATAGTACTGCCTATATACATTTCTTATGCACAGAGTCTATCATATAAGTAATCTTTGCAATATCATTGGTGTTTAGTACTATATCTTTATGTTAGAACCTCATATTTTTTAAGGATTCTATTCAACTCAGAGTCTGCAGCACAGAGTCCTAAAGTAAGCTTCGAATCTGGATGGGTCTGTCTTACCAGATGGTCAAGCAGTCCCGCTTTTGCTTGACCACCATACACTTCATTTATTCATAAACATCATCTTGTGTCAGGCCCTGTTCTAGGTTTAGAAGATACAAAAAAGAGATTCCAGTTGTAGAAACAAAGTAGTAATAATGATAATGACAATAAATTGATGAGTTTGTTCATAAAGGTATGCAGGAGATACACAGAGGAACTAATCTAGTCAGGGAGGGCTTTAGGGAAAGTTTCTCAGCTGGAACTGAATCTTAAAAGGTCTGTAATTAAGCAAATAAAGTGCTCCAGCAAGGGGGACAACAGATAGGCCTGGGAACAGAAGGCATGTGTGTGTAAGTTAGGCACCTAGGGCTTCTAGTGGGAAATGGTAGATGCTCAAACATGAAGAGGTAGTTAAGCTCCAGTTCTGCTTCCGTCACCTAATTTCTTATCTAACCATGAGAACGAGTCACTTAATCTCTCCTTTTCTCAATAGTCTTATCTCTAAAGTAAGGAGCCATACTAATAACAGTTTTCAGCCCTGTGTGTATACTCTTGCTTCACACATCATTAAAGAGTGGTAACTGCTCAGTTATTTTTCTGCTGTAGGGAAAGGAAAATCCCGGTGTTAGATCCTGGTGTATGTGCTTAGAAACTATGGTTTTTCTGTGATTTGTAGGCCAGTCAGAGAGAGATCTGATGTTTTGTGCAAGGTACAATAAAAGGAAAAGAGGAGCTCCCTCACCTTTTGCAAATAGATTTTCAGTGTATGAGTTTTCTTTGCTTACTCTTCTGCTACTTGGTATACAATAATGACAGGTTACCCTATTTTATAGGGAAAAACATGTGATTTTTTTTCTTGTACATTCTATTTTCTCTAATACTTCAAGCTTAAATTTTAAAATATTTCTTCTTTAGCTGTGGCTGGTGTGGCTCAGTGTATTGAGTGCTGGCCTGTGAACTGAAGGGTCACTGGTTCAATTCCCAGTCAGGGCACATGCCTGGTTTGTGGAGCCATGTTCCCTGGTAGTGGGTGTACAAGAGGCAACTGATCGATGTATCACTCACATATCCATGTTTCTCTCCCTCTCTTTCTCCATCCCATCCCCTCTCTCTAGAAATAAATAAAAATCTTAAAAAATATATATTAAAAATACTACTTCTTTAAACTGTCCTGCACACTGCTGATGAATTAATCTTCTTAAAAGCACCTGTGATCAGGTTACTTCACAGTAACCTTGACAGTTCCCCATTGCTGTCAACAATTCTGAACTGAATTTTTTTCTTCCGGCTTGAAAACTGGTACCAATGCATATCTGTTGACTGAAACTTCTCATTCAGCTGAATGTACTTCTTACATACTTTGTTAACACACGCTTTATTTCCTGATCAGTCACTTCTAATTATGCTGTTTTTCACCTACTTAGAGTGTGTGCTTTTTTTTTTTTTCAGACCCATCCTTTTGCCTACTCTGACTGCCTGTACGAACCAGTCCTTATTAGCTTTCCGACCTCAGCTTTAAGACCCCTCAGAAACTACGGTCTCTGGGACTGGCCACGCCCAGAGAAATGAGTCATTCCCTGAGTTCCTCTAGTTGTGGTTGTCTCTGTGGTTCTTTAAATAACGCTTCGTGTATGTACTTCACTTATATACTTCCAGTCTTTTAAATAATTATGTTTATTTTGTATTACTTTTCACAATTTCTTTTTATTATCCTTACTTCCTCAACCAAGATTATAAAGAACCTTGAAGAAGGCAGAAAGGAACAAAGAAAAATACTCATCTAGAACATACTATGTGCTGTTCTATTCCAGGTGTTTTACATACTTTATTTCATTTAACCTTTAGATGACTATGTGAAAGATAGAAGAATTCTTAATTTACAGATAAAGAGACAAATTCAGATGTGTTCAGCAGTTTGCCCAGTATTCCATCTCCGTTAGTGGCAGACTGGTGGTTGTACCCAGGGTCATCTGATTGCAGAGCATATGCTCTTCCTGCTCCCCTAAACTGCATCATGTTTCTGTATTTTGATTCTTTTACAACAAGGGCCACATATGTTAGGGGCACAGTAAAGTTTGTTCCATTCTATTTCACTTTTTCAGTATTTATTTTCTTTCAGAATGTAAACAGAGAAGGTGAGATCCAAGTTATTAAATTTGTATTTTATCCGCTTTCCAAAAGGTTTAACAATGAAAAAATTAGAAACTCTTGGCATAAATATGGGGATTTGAATCACTTCTAGGTGGTTATCATTTCTCCACTTCCTACCTGCTATTCTTAGAGATTTCCATGCCACCTGCCAAGAAAAGGCCTCACCAACAAGTGTTACTCTTCAGAGTTGCCCTTTGGTTTTTAAAAAATGCCATTCAAAGCAATAGAAAGGTGGGCCATGAATTGTCTTCAGCCAAAAATGTTCTTTTGTGACTTTGCTTAAATTAAAAAAAAAAAGCCCACATGGTTCCTCTTCTCAATCAGCTAAAATAGGGGAGGTAGGGGTGGCATTAGGGAAGGAAAGAGCCCAAACAGGAACATAATTATGAATCCAGTTTAGTTTGTAAGATCAGGTTTGATAGGTTCATGTTAGTACATGATATTTTTTACTTATCATTTAAGCTTCGCAACCATATTAAAATCAAATTCTACTTTTTTACCTGTCTTCCCCCCTTTTTCATGCTTCAGTTAGTTGTCTACCCTCCTAGGGTCTGCTTCGTCAGAGTGCTTGAATCTGTGATAGATAGAATTCTACAGCAATTCAGAAAAGAGTTAGCAGGATTTTTAAAAAGAATAAATGGGGGTATAATAGTGAAGAAACTGACATTTTTCTAGCTCAGAGGCAGTGAGGCCATTGTTATAACCAGTGTGGAAATCTATTTAATGTATGTACAGCGTCCTGCGGAAGTAACGCCATTGAGTGTGGTTGGTATGATACGTGAATATCTCCCACGTGGTGGCCAACAAGTTGAACATTTCACCTAAAATGTCACATGGTGTGCTTGAGTGTGATATTGTTATATTACAGAATTACAAGCTTATGATTTTGCAAGAAAAGATTTTTTATTAGTAAAAAAGGGGTGTTATTTGTGCCAGACCCTGTATTATAAATATAAGTAAATCATGTATACCTAAAGTATCCACACAGTGGTGCTCCCTGTCGCTGTGTTTGTGGTACAAGGGAGCCAGCAGAGGGGCTGGCTTCCCAAGGTGAAGACTCGAATGACCCATCTTAAACTCACCCACTTTTCAATGCTCCCGTTAGTTGTCTCTCCCAGTCTGCTCTAAATATCCTTAAGATTCTCCCCCCCCCACACACACACACACTACCCAGAATTACACCTAATCATGCTAAAGAATCTAAGCACATTCTATATAGCATTTTTCTAGTGTGCTGCTCAGGCAAATCCTAAATATGTCTATTTTCATACAGTAATAATTTGCTCATTATTTTAGGTTGGCACTTCGAGTTTTAAATGTATGATTTTGGTCCTTGCTTTTCCTGAAATTTAAAATTTTTTTTAAATAATAAAAAATGTGAGTTGTTTTAACTCAGCAGGAATTACAGTAAAGCCGGAATTCCATATATTAGACATACACTCATAAATATAATGCATATGTACATAAATGGTACTGCATTTAAAATTAACACTGTTAAGCTGGGCATAATAAGAAATATGTTTTGTCTTTTCCAAGGAAACAGGGAGATTTGGAGAGCATACCCTAGACAAAAAGGCAAATGTAGGTAGCAGTATCAAAAATAGTATCTGAGTTTCAGTTAGTTTGATACAAGTTACAATATAAATATAACAGATTAAAAATTAGTATTAGTGTATCTCGAACTAGTGAAGTTAGGCCATAAGAGGAAAAAAACAGCAATGCTGTATCTTGAGGAAAACAGAAAGGGAAATTAACCTTGAACTGTGTTAATGATAAGAAATATTTGATAGCCATTTTCTATCAGTAATAATTTCCACCATTTCCTGAGTATTATCCCACTTTACTGAGCAAGGTGGTATTATCTGCATCTTGCAGAAAAGATACTAAGACAACAGAGAAGCCGGGTAATTTGCCAGAATGTCACAGCTCTAAGCCGTGGCACCACTACAGAAACCATGTCAGTCTTGTACCAGAGCCTTTCCTTCTAGGGCGTGCCCCTCTGTGCAGGCTGCACTGGCTCTCAGAGTAAAGCTATTAAATAGAAATGTTTCACGAAGAAGGGAGGTGCGAACTCTCTGGGAACAGATATGTAAGTGACTTTTGGAGGTAGCGTTTTGTAAAGGGTAGGAAAAGAACTACTAGGAAACCATTTTAGTCCTGTGATGCCATAAAAATAGTTATGGGAGTCTTGAATGATTAGCCTATAAACTGTCACATTTGATGTGATTTTTAAAAATTGGACATTAAAAATGGATTAGATTTATATTTAAATAAATTCATTAAACAAATTCAAACTTATTCAGAATTCATAATTTCCTTTTAAGTAGAATTGTATTGGAATTAGTTGAGAAACACAAGTACTATTAAACTCTAAATTTAGGACTGACCCTTTAAAAGTACATTGCCAAGTCTTGTGTAATATTTCTAACTTCTGTAGTAGTTATGGAGAAGAAATTCAAAGTGGACTTATATAAGGGAAAGTCATAAGTATTTATGAAACGTTGATATAGTTATCATTCACTATGAATTTATTATCCCCTGATATTACAAATCTATGTAAACTCTTGTGATTTTTATTTTGAAGATATTTACTTTGTAATTTCCCAGTTTATTCACTGAGTAGACACCTTTTAAGCCTATTAGCAATTTTCTGTTATTTACTCTGGGTGTTTTTTTCCTGTATCTATTTTATACTGTTTACCAAAGGCTCAGATAATGTGACATAAATATGTAGATGATATGAATATATACCTACATTTTATCATAACAGTTTTGTCTTAATGAATTTTAAAATGAGCCATGTTTTTTGGGTCATCACTGTTACTTAAATATAAAATTCTATTTGTATAAAAAATAAAGCACATATAATGATGGTAATCAAGTACCTCATCTAATCTCCCTTGGCTATTTTTAAAATTAAGTGAAGGTGACCATTTTTACTATGGCAACTAAAGGGGATTTAAAAATAAAGATAATTTAAATCTATGGATATATCATGAATAGGAAAATTATAGGAAGCAAATCAAAATTTTTAACAGTGGTATTTTGGGGTTGTAAGGTCAGTCCTATCTCATGGGTTCTAGTTTAATTTCTAGCCCTTAGCTTTATTGGCCATGGCTATAGTTTCTTTTAATTATGGAACTAAGGTTAACAAATCCAGGTGAAATTTTATACTACACAAACTTAGGTGAATTTTTTTTCTCCAAGCCAAGCTCAGCACTGAGTATTTTTTAATTCCATGCAACAAAAATCACAAAATCTGTTATAGACATCTTTAGACTACCAGAGTTTAAGTTTAAAGCATTAATATCATTTTAGTTTTAAATATATATTTTAAATAATATAAAGATCAAGCCAGATTGCCTCTGTGAAAGTTTTCTTACCTCAGCTGTTAACTTCTTTTGCAGGATGCTAACTTCTTGTTCTAACTGGACATTTTGGTGATTTGGCTAAGAAAGCAGAGGGTGGTTCAGTTTAGGTTTAAAATGGTCCTCTAGCGAGCTGAAATGGTTTCTGCTGAAAAAGAGGAAGTTTATCAATAGTTGGTTCCGGAAGTGCAACATGCCACAAAATGACTAAGAAATGACTTTAACAGAACTTATTTTGAAACACAATTTGGAGCTATATGATTTGAATGCTTTTAATTAATGTTTGTAAGTAAACACTTGAGGCTCTCTAGTAATGTGATTAGGTATATAATTTAAATATTTAGAGTAGAGCCCTAAAGAGCAAATTGTATTGTTCTGAGAAACTTGTCAGTTGGGCAATTACTCATAGTGAGATTTCTTTCCTAAGAAGTGAGTGAGGTGTTTATTCTGTTTATGTGTGACCTTAGGCAAGCTACTGTACTTTTGAAGCACTATTTCCTCCTCTGGAGGGACATTTTTCTTACTGAATCATTGGGAGGATTAAATAAGATAACATAACATCTACAACTGTCTCACACACAGTTGGTAGCAGGAAACATTGATGTTATTTTCTCTAACATAATTTAGGCAAAGCCCAGGTAAAAATATAATTCTTTTTTTGACCAAATACTTTGCTAAATGATTTTTTAGTTCAAGTCCACAACTCTTTGATTATCTACAAAGTAGGTACTTCTAAGTGGAAAAATTAATTTTGGAATTATCTTTTAAATAACTGAGCAAAGTATATTGAAGAGTATGAGTCAGTCTGAATAAAAATTTCTTTGGCCAAGTCACCTAGCCTCTTGCCTCATCTGAAAAATTGAGGTTATAATTTCTAATTTATATATTTATTATGGGATTAAATACATGTAAAGTGCCCAGCATAGCATGTGTTGTAGAAGCAAACAGTAATTATTAAATTGTGTTCTGCTTTTCCCTGGTCACTGAAGCAGAACACAGATTATTAAGATCCAGTTCTTAACTGCACGGGACTCATAACTTAGAACAAAAAAAAAGTTCTTTTTAAGAGTTGTACTATAAAGCATAACATACTTTAGCAAAGAAAGCAAAAGTACTATAAATGTTTAAAATTCCTAAATTAAGTGTGTGGTTTATAATTAACCCATGGGTAAAAAACAAAAATGCCTTTGTTCAAAAATAACCTTTAAAATTTGAACTCAAAACTTAACCTATCATTTTTTTAAATTGTTAAGTTTGGAAAAGAACTACTTTTGTTTATTCATGAGCTGTCATTGGATGGTGTCCTTCTGAAAGTGCAAGTTTAACAGCCAGGGAAGTGAGTGATGAATTTTCAGTGACCCTGCAGTAGAAGCTTTCTGGTGTTGTAAGAAAATATTTGACCTGTATGTTGAGTATGAAAGAAGTAGTTGCCTAGTTAATTTCTTATTTTTAAAAAGACACTAAATTATTTAGTTTTCTCTAAGTATTTATATGTGATACTTGATTCAAGGAGTGCTTTCTATTATCATTATTTATTCCAGTATACAATGTCAAATTTTTAATTTGTGCCAAACAGGGGCTCTGCCCAGTTTCATTTCCAGTCTAGTCCCTTTTACTGAAAAGATAGCCTCCTTTCTGTCACCATGCTCGGCATTGCTATTCTCTTGCTCCTTTTTTACTTTGTTGACGTTCAGATTATGTGGAATAATATGGTTATGATTTACTATTTAGAACATGAATATTTTGACAAATGGTACTAAATTGGTAATAAAATTGATGCTCTACTTTTTCTTCTCATTTTAAGATGTAACATAGCTCTTTGGGGACATGGAACTTATAAGAGGTTAATTTGATGACGAAGAGCAGTATCATCACCTAGGGAGTTACGCAGAAATCACCAGTGCCTGGAGCTCACCCCATTCTAATTGAATCAGGAGAAGGTGGGAGTTAGGCATTGGGGAGTTTTGTTTGTTTGTTTGTTTTTAAAATTTTATTTAGTTATTTCTCAAGTACAGTTTTTTGTCTATTTCCCATCCCAGCCCACCCCGCCCTGTGTTCCCCACCTCCCTCCCATTTCCACCCCCCTTAGTTCTTGTCCCGGTGTCCTTCATACTTGTTCCTCCAAATCCCTCCCCTTTTTTTCCCCTTAAATTCCCTCCCCTCTCCCCTCTGGTCACTGTCCCCTTGTTCTCTATTTCAGTGTTTTTGTTTTTATTCAGCTTGCTTGTTTGTTTTGTTGTTTAGCTTCCTGTTAAAGGTGAGATCATATGGTATTTGTCTTTCAACACCTGGCCTATTTCACTCAGCATAATGCTTTCCAGTTCCATCCAAGTTGTTGCAAAGGATAGTAGCTCCTTTTTTCTCTCTGCTGCATAGAATTCCATTGTGTACACCTATTTAAAGTACCAATGGCATATTCACAGACATAGAGCAAACACTTCAAAAATTTATATGGAACCATAAACAACCCCGATTAGCAGCTGCAATTTTAAGAAAGAATAACAAAGTAGGAGGGATCACAATTCCTGATATCAAACTGTATTACAAGGCCACTGTAATCAAAACAGTCTGGTACTGGCATAAAAACAGGTACATAGACCAATGGAACAGAACAGAGAGCCCAGAAATAAACCCAACTCTCTACAGTCAATTAATATTCGACAAAGGGGCATTAACATAAAATGAAGTAAAGATAGCCTTTTCAACAAATGGTGTTGGGAGAACTGGGGAGTTTTTAAAACGTGTCAGGTGACTTTGATACACAACCAGGATGAGAATTGCTAAAACCTAGAAGGGGGATAGTAAGAATGTGGTCATATTTGGAAAAATATATAAAATGTTTTCTTAAATGGCTAGCATATTGTCCAAAATAAATGCTTGGTAGGAATGTGATTTTTTTAAATGTGGCCTGCTGTTTAATTAGGATGCCCTGTGCCAATTTCAGTAAACAGCTGGAAGTCAGACCAACTTTTGTAATATACAGGGTCCGGCACAAATAACACTCCTTTTTTAATTACAAAATCATAAGCACATAATTTTGTAACATAACAATATCACACTCAAGCATGCCATATGACATTTTAGGTGAAATGTTCAAATTAAAACTATAAATTATTACACCCATAATATTACATTACCAACTGCACTCAAGCAGGCATTAACTTCTGCCAGACCCTGTATTTAATTGAAAATAGAAGTCTTGACTTATTTTAAGTAAGTCATTATTTTACTTGAACCCAGTTTTTTAAAAGGTTAAACATTTACCTGAAATATCCTGTTTTCCAAATTAGAACACACACACACATACACACACACTCTCCACACACAAGCCTTTCCTTTGCTCGTATCCCACTAATGGTTAAAAAAAAAATGAAATTGATCATGTATTAGGCCATTTGGCATCCTTAAAGTTCAAAAATTAATTAACTTTTCGATGTTTGCTATAAATAATCCAAAGAGCAGTATTTACAGGACAGAGGGATGTTACACTCAAACAGTAAGGTGCACTTTGCATTGGTGCTCAGTCTGCTGTGGCGGCTGTAGAGCCCTTGTTTCAGTTGTCTGCTCCTTCTCACTGGTCTTTGCCTGTGTTCCCTCAGACAATGAAGCAAATGCAAATAGACACAGTCAGCTTTATTCTGACAAGTCTTAATTTATTTCACAAAATTAAAAGTTTTAGTTAAATATTTATAGTAGAAAAAGTCTTGTGTGTGTCATATGTAAAGATGAAAACATCTAGCATAAAATTAGCTGTGTTGATATAAGAGCTGGTATGGGTTTTGTCACATTCAGCAAAAAGGTACCATTAAACGATACAGTCCAACTCTGTGCATTAGGAATTTGACTTCTTTTAGATGTTAAAGCATTTACTTGCCTCTGAGGACACACTGAAACTCTTCAAAGTTCATTTATATTCAGACAAAGATCACCTAACTACTAGAGTCGGCAAGAAATGTTTAATTGTCCCTTTCTACCTCTGTTAGTTCCTTCAACTTATTTATAAAAACATGCCTAAATTTTGGTTGTTTTATTATTTGCTTTTTAAAATATTCAGTGTCAGAACAGAAGTGCACAACTTAAATAATGAAGTAAGCAGGCATACCTCTCCCATTTCCACCTGCTTAAGTCTAAATTGCAAGGCCTGAGATGTCAAATTTTAGACCATCAGACCGATGTGTTGGCATTAAATAGCAAAACGACTTTGCTTTTACTCCATAAAGTTTCTCATTGTTACTTTGCGTTTTCTTCACAGAAGCACCTGTTAGTAAGTTTTTCAGTTCCTTCTTCCTGTGTTTTTTCCCTTGGTGCTGTGAGCGCTCCAGTAGATTGCATCATCAGGTTGGGCCCTGTGGGCTGTTTTGCTCTTTTCCAAGTGTCTGAGTCAGCAGGCCATAGACCACTGCTTGCCAGAAAATCGCCATTGCTTCTAGGCTGACGTTTGCTTACTTGTTTTGATCGTCTGAGAGATGAGACTTTATTTGCCAGAACCACCGTTGATAGAAATAGAAGGGTACAGATAAGAAAAAGCACTGCAATTATAATTAAGCAAACTAACATAGCCATTTTGTTGTTGTTTTCCTCGCAGACGTCTTTTTTGAAAATTTCACTGTGACTTTTGCTTGTGTTTTCAATGTTCTGTGATGTTGGAGAGCTGTTCCTCGGAACAGAAGGTGTATGAAAGTCCAGGTCAGATACAGGAGTTAAAGTTGCGATGTGAGATGATGTTGCTCTTTCAGGCATGTTTGTAGAATTACTTTTCTTATCTGCTTTAGGAGTTGTTGAGTTTGTGTTAATGCTTTGATTTTGGTTTCTGCCTGTCTTACTCTGAATATCTGGGTCCCAGACAATAGTATTGTTAGCCCACAGATGGGTATAGTTTGCCTTTGTTCCAGGAGACAAAGAAAAAACTGTTGTCATCAGAAAGGCCAGGTGCAGGTAATGTCGTATGTGTTTCATGTCCGTGAGTATACGGGTAATCTGTTGGGACAGAAATATAATTTGTTAATTGTGAAGGAATAATGGTTTCAGGTTTGGGTACCTGTAGATAAAAGATGGGCAGCTGGTATGTTATAAGTAAACTACAAGCTCATGCCTAACATTTGCAGTCGGTTTGAATGCCTTCTCAGCTGATTTTTTTCTCTCCAGCTACAGGGAAAGAAACAGTTTACTTTTGTTATTCTTTTAAATGTTAGAAGTTAGCATTACAGATAACTATTAATTATTATAGACTGAATACCGTGGTTTTATATAGTTTTCTCTCAAGTATGCTAGGCTTCAGTTTTGAGTCAGGTACTTCTGCTTTTACTTTTTTGATTCCCTCTCTTGCCCATTTAAGGATTTTTTTTTACAGAAACTCCCCACCTTCTAACAGATGTGTCATCAATCTCTATAGTAAAGGAAGAATGTGGCCTTGAGCATTTCACTTCATGTATGAAAATAAAATGGAAGTAGCTTTTTTCTTCTGGTCAGGAAAGGGGAAGTACAGTAGCAACCGAAAGAATATGAACTTCAAATAGGAATTCAAGGTGGTGGGTTTTTTTCCCCATTTTTGGGTATTTATCTTGAAGTTTTGAATGAAGCTAATACTTAGAAATATATCCCCATTACTTGTGAAAGCAATTTTATGATGTTGGTTCTCCCTTTTTACCTCTATGTCCCCAACTTACTTTGGCTTTCTGAAAGCAAAGGCCAAAGGCATGCCAGTTTTATTAAGCTAAAGATCTGGCATTAAAAAGAAAACAAGGCAGAATTCTTTTGAATAATCTTAAAAGTTCAACAAAAGTTACTGACTTTTTTATATCATTTATGCCTAGTTTTTTTTCCCTATGAATATATATTTTTTAATTCTCATCCAAGGATATGTGTGTTGATTTTGGAGAAGAGTGGAAGAGGGGAGGGTGGAGAGAGAGATCAACTGGTTGCCTTTTGTGTGCACCCTGACTGGGAGTCACACCCGCAACCTTTTGGTGTACAGCACAATGCTCCAACCAACTGAGCCACTCAGCCAAGACTCTGAATATTTTGATATAATTAAAAAGAAACAAATTATACAAACAAAATAGAGACAGTCCGATAGGTCTGACAGACCTATCAGGAGAGGGCAGGCTGACAGCTGGGGGTGTGGGGACAGGAAAAGAACGGAGAAAGAACACATGAACATGGACAGTAGTGTGGGGATTGAGGGGCGGAGGGGGTTGGGTGGAGGTGGAAGAGGGTATGGGGGATAAATGGTGATGGAAAAAATTAAAAGAATAATAAACAAGACAATGAAATAGGAAGAAATAGAGCATCAGGATCATGGGGCTTCAGACTGAAGTGGGAAGTCAAGGCAGATGGTAAGTATCTCAGCATACAAGTGAAAAAGTTGAATTTCGGTTTTGGCCCTGAGTTCCCTGGAAGCCAGTACAAAAAGGGACGGGTCTGTTTCTAATTCTCATTATTCATGATAGGATTGAAGATTTAAATAGAACTGGCATATCTGTTCAGGTACTAGTAAACCAGAAAGATTTGTCACCATTATTGAGCTATCTCTTTTATAATAATATTTCAGTTTGTTGGAGCTACTTTTGTAAAACTATTTTATTGTTGGCATTTTTAAAATTTATTTTTTATTTTAATTGTTCAAGTACAGTTTTCTGCCCTTTACCCCCATTCTGCCCCCCAGCCCTCCCCACCTCCCTCCCGTCTCCACGCCCCCTTGTTATTGTCCACGTGTCCTTTACACTAGTTCCTGCAGACCCTTCCCCCTTCCCCTGAAATTCCCTCCCCTCTCCCCTCTGGTCACTGTCAGCCTGTTCTCAATTTCAGTGTCTTTGGTTATATTTTGCTTGTTTGTTTGTTTTGTTGATTAGTTATTGTTAGCATTTATTTGAGGGAGCTGGAAGAAAAAACAAAAGTATTCACCTGTTTTAAGTGCAGATTTCGATTCCGTAAATCTAGGAGGAACCTGAGATTCGTTTTTTCTGACCCACTCCCAAGCAGCGTAGATGCTACTTCTACTAGTCATACTTTCATGAGTTTCAAGGTTTTATAAGGAATAGTTATAAGAATAACATAATGATGCTACTGGGAATTAACCTCTGAAATAATACGTCCTATTAGTAGTAGGGAAAAACCTTTATTATGTGTTCTAGAATTAAGATTACTTTTTGGATTATGACCTTTGGTAGTGAAAGATACGGTACACTGATTTCTATATAACAGTGTTTAGCTTCAATTTTTAAGTTGAATGGCATAAATCTTTGGCTACTTTATGATTTTTTCACAAAGAGAAATACTTTAAATTGGGTTACCAAGTAGTTTCTATCCTTTTATACTAGACTGGCCTTGTGCGTAGATGCTAAAATAAGTTAAAGTGGGTTATTCTTGTCACATTAGTTCATGAACAGCATAGCATGCGTCAGTGCCTGTGCACATTTGAACAGTTCCTACCACGGGGCAGACAATGGGCCCACTGTCAATTGTTCTCTGCCAGATGCACTGCCGTCCCCAGATAAACAACTGCAGCAAATGGGAACCAGGGGCTGTCTCTGCAGCCCTGATTGATGTATGCCACCGAAGCTAGGTTATGTTATCAAAAGTTTTTGTTAATCTCCAGTCATTTTTAATAAAATTTATAATGCCTAAGCATCAGTAATAAGAAATTTATTTTTTAAACTTTTCATGCATAATCAAACTTTCCAATTTGCTGTAGAGTTTACACTCAGGTCCTTCCTAGTCCTAGTTTAAAACTCTATGTTGGTGGTAAATCTTTACCATTTCTAACATAAAGTTTACCTAATAGGACAGGAAAAAAGCAGCATACATTTCAATTACTTACAATTGTACTTTGTTAGTAAGATTCTTAGGTACTATTTGTAGAACTTCCTCAAACACTAATCTGTACAAAGTTATGTGAAAAGGCATAAGAAAACCATATATATTACATACCTTACAAAATGGTTGGTCAAAATCTGCTTATCACCTTATTTTAATAAGCCACTTCTTGTCTTGAGGCACAGCTTCCAAGTAATTTAAAGCAGAACAGACTTGGAGAAATACGAACGTTAAAGTAAATCTGCAGTAAAAAAGGGCATATGCAGCTAGCTTTCCACTGTTCAAACCAAACCACAGATGACACATTTCCTTTTCGCTGCAGCTAAAGCACATGTCACGGCGGCGGGGGGGAAAAATGGAGTCTCCAACTTGTCTAGCTGGCCCCTGGCGTGACAGGAGGCTTTGTAGAGCAAATCCCCGCCTCCAGAGCAGGGAGGGTTTTCTGCTTGGTGTCTTTTGACCTTAAACTAATTATATATGCCTGGTGTAGCTTTTGAATAATATATTCAGGTCATTCAAAAGAAGGTGAAATGGCATTTTTCCTGCAGCATTAAAATCATCTCTAAAAATTTTATTTGGATGCCACAGACTGATTGATAACATGAGTTTGGAGACCTCTGGGGTATTGGTTAAATAATAGAACAAACCCACATCTCAGACCATGGAACTGCAGTGATTTGAGAAAGTACATAGTAAGTTTAGATTATATAGGACATAAAATGCTTTCGTATGGCTTAGTGGGTCCTCTCCCTCTCCCTCCCTCTCTCTCTTCCTTCCCCCTCTCTTCCCCCCTCCTCTCCTCCACCCTTTGAAGGTCCTTTCATCACCATCATCAGTGAATCTAAAATGGATCTAATTTTTCTCTCAGAAGTGGTGGTCCCGCATGATCTCTTTCTTTTTGTTCATGATAACAGCATTCTGTGTAATGTCAGAGGCTTTCTGTACAGCAAGTCCCTTTGATTCAAGTTCTTTCTTATAGCCCTCATCAGAACTAAGATAATATTGATCCTTTCTTTATATCCTTGGATCAGTTTCTTAGTACAGTCTTCTGCCACATGACAGACTACATATATGATGGTGGTCCCCTAAGATTATATAAAGGAGCTGATAAATTTCTGTCACCTAGTAACCATGGTAACATAATAGCACAACACACAACTCACACGTTTGTGGTGATGCCGGTAAACAAACTTATGGCACTGCCAGTCATATAAAAGTATAGCTTACACAGTTATATAGTATTGGGCTCTTCCGTCTGTCTTTGCGATTGCGCACTCTGATGTTTGCACAGAGATGAAGTTGTCTGACAATGAGTTTCTCAGAACATACCCTCATGTCTTTACGTGGTGTGTGACTGTATTTTAGATCCTTGCAAGGCCATACCTAAGCTACTGCAGTACCTTTTTACTAGTTATGACTCCTGTGTATATCTTGTATATATTACTTCCTTTGATCATACCACCCCTTTCTTTTAAGAAAGTAGTGGAGTAACTCCTTAATACCAGCTCCTTGACTCTTATAGCAGCGATTCAGAAATGTTCATGCACATAAATATTAGATGAGAAGTTGTTTTAAAACAGTGAAAATTGCTGGGCCCCACTGTCTATACTGTTTATATGCACTAGTGGGTCTGGGCTGGACCCGGGAACCGCAGTTTTGTCAGGCACCACACCAGTCCTCATGCTGGTGCTGCACAGAGCATGCTCGGAGGGGTCCTGAACCCCGTAGTTAAACAGTTTTGGTCCCTTCACAATTTAGCTATTATGTATTTTTCCAGCTTTATTTGTTAAAACTTCTCTGTGTGAATCCTCCATTCTCACTAAACTAGCTGACTGTTGCCTCAACACGCTAATTACCTATTTCTTTTCCTCTTTACCTCTCTCCATGAGGCCCGCCCGTCCCTCCTCTTGTTGAGTTCGAAATTCCTCCAGCCCACTGCAGCTGCTCCTCTAAGTAGCACTCCCTGACTGCCCGCCCAGTCTGTGCTGCTGTCTCCCTCTCCTGAACTTAACAGGAGGATTTCTCCCCCGGAGTCCCTGCGATAAGTCATTATATCCCACCTTATATCTTTTCTTTGATCTTGAAATAGTTTCCTTTTATTTAAAAATCATTTCACTTGTCATATTTTTATCTTATTTCCTCCCAACAAAACTAACAACTCAGCCTAGGTCGTAGCTGTACTACCACAGTGATCAACTAAAAAACACTGGGCCCAAGTTCACGTAGGTTGTTTGACCAAAATTCTAGTGCTGTGTTTTTCAGGGCTTTCTGTGGGTCCTTACCTCGGCTGGTCACATTGCTTTGCATTATTTTTAGCATAAACAACATACACCCTAATATGGCTGCCTTAAGAAAAATTGGAACTGATTGGCTCTTACGCTCGCATAGTCCAGGGATAAATTTGATCCCAGGAGAGGCTTTATCTAGGACTCAGATGAAATGGCCAGGGTCCCAGTTTCTTTGTTTTTTCACTCAATACCTTTGGTTCTTAGGCACACTTCCCTTCATATCTCAAGGTAAGACCTAACAACTGTCATGGCTCTGTGTGCCCTTGTTTATAAACATCAGCAAAGTACATGTCTCAATTCCTAGCAGTTTACACTGCCATGTCTGAATGGGGCCTCTTTGGCTCTGGTTGTCCTAATTTGAGTCATGTGACCATTACTGAACCATTGTCTCTGGTCAAGGTAGAATAAATGGATTCACTAAAGCCATTCAGCTCCAGGCGGGTCATTCCCAACGAAACAGTTCGCCTGAGAACTATGGTGGACATGGAGGCCACTAACCAATGTCCACTGCCATCCTCCTGTGATGGACAAGTTTGTTGTTACTGTCATTGCTCAGAGTTTTAATATTTGTTAGTGTTGTGGACCGCTCTGCCTGGTTTCAGGGATTGTAACTCCACCCTCTGTGAGTAAGGATGAGTGAGTGACCTTTGGAATTCGAGCCACAGGAGACAAACCTTGTCTCTAGTAGCAAATGCTGCCTCAGTTTCCTCCCTGCCCCCAAAGCATGGTCGGAAGTCATTGACGGGTACGACCTCTCAGAGGAGGGGCAACCTAGTCCAGTCACGATCACTTGGAAGGTCATCATGGAAGGACCCCGGGGGGCTGCAACAAAGAGCAATGGACTCTTGCCCCCCAGCTTTGACAAGCCTGAGTCCCCTTGTAGTCTGGGAAAAGCACTTCTTGGCTCTAATCCCCTTAAGCCTGAATACCTGATGGGGAAAGGTGTAGCTCCTTGCCTTGCGAGAGCGTGTCCTGGGAAAAAATCTGGCAACACAAAGACTTCCTGATAAACCTGTGAAATCTGCTCTGCTAAGAATGCTTTCATTCTTGTGGTAAGGGTCAGAGCAGGAAATGAGTATGTCTCCCAAAAGTTCTGCAACCCCCTTTCCTGACAGGCACTGACTCAGACTAAGCCCTCAGATTTCTTTGAAATGTTATCTACTGTTTGATCCTAGCCCCCTGTATTCCTGTGTATTACAACCCAATAAAAGTCTTTAGAGGAAGGGGCTCAACGCCTTTTTCCCCTGAGAAACTGGCCACTGCTCAAGGCCTTTCTCCTCTGGAAAACTGGCCACGTCTCCTCCCCAAGCAGATCATGTCTCAGTCATGTTTATTCTCATCCATGGCACACGGGGAGGGGGGGGACTTGCAAGGAAAGTCGCCTCCACATTTTAAGATTTTTAAAATATATTTATCTTTAGAGGGGAAGGAGAGAGGGAGAGAAATATCAATGTATGGTTGCCTCTTGTGCATCCCCTGCTGAGAACTGGCCTGCAACCCAGGCATGTGCCCTGACTGGGAATCGAACTGCGGTTGTTTGATTTGCAGGCTCGAGCTCAGTCCGCTGAACTACACCAGCCAGGGGTGCTCAGAGTTTTTGGATTGAAGATTCATCTCCTCTGTTTTACTTCTCAATGTCCAAAGAACAACCTATTACAAAAAAGGATCCGGACTTTGTATAATTGTTTTGTGTTATTGTTAGTTTTCTCTAGAAAACTAATCAGAAAATAAAGAAATAAAATAGATTAGTAGCATCTATATATCTATTCAGAACTCTGTTGACAAACTGTCCCTTTTTTTTTTTTTGTCATCTTCCTTAGGTTCAAAACTGGTCAGATCAACGGTGATTTGCTAATATATCACGTCTTGCTGACTTTAAAGCCATATTATGCAAAGCCATATGAAATTGTAGTGGACCTTACCCATACTGGGCCTAGCAATCGCTTTAAAACGGACTTCCTCTCTAAGTGGTTTGTTGTTTTTCCTGGCTTTGCTTATGACAATGTCTCCGCAGTTTACATCTATAACTGTAACTCCTGGGTCAGGGAGTATACCAAGTATCACGAGCGGCTGCTGACTGGCCTCAAAGGCAGCAAAAGGCTCATTTTCATAGACTGCCCTGGGAAACTGGCTGAGCACATAGAACACGAACAACAGAAACTACCCGCTGCCACCTTGGCTTTGGAAGAGGACCTGAAGGTGTTCCACAATGCCCTCAGGCTAGCTCACAAAGACACCAAGGTTTCTATTAAAGTAAGTTTCGCTCTCTGTTGGGCTCATTGCCTTCCTTGACTGACCAGACTGTTGACTGGCCTTCCTAAGTGTTCCCGTGGTAGTGTATCAAATGTAAAGGAAGTCCAGAGGGAGAAAAATTAAGCTTTCTATCCTCATGGAGGTCCTGAGGATGATATGAGACGTATACCTTAATTATATTCTAGCTTGGGTTGGAGGCAGAAGAGTGTAGCAAACAGAGGGCAGTTCCCTGCATAGCAGTCATATGGCAGGGATGTGCTGAAAGTGGAAATGAGTGACAATTCTGATTTTTACATGCTTTTTGCAATGAGGAACATACATCTGCAGGATAAAAATCAGTATTTGTCTATAGTATTCTGCACCTTTTTTAAAAACAAAATTAATTTTTTCTGATGTTTTCAGTCTCTTGCGCATTAATCACAGTAATTTTTGAACCCATTTGACTATATAATGGTAATAACTCTCCCTTAAATAGCAAACATAGTATCTCGGTTGGTTGGTTGCTTGGTCAGTTGGTTTTGGCACCTCTTACAATTCAACATAATGGAATTTAATTCTTCTTCATTCCACCTTCTCGCCATCACTTTCCAGGTTGGTTCTACTGCTGTTCAGGTAACCTCAGCAGAGCGAACAAAAGTCCTGGGGCAGTCAGTCTTTCTCAATGATATCTATTATGCTTCGGAAATTGAAGAAATCTGCCTGGTGGATGAGAACCAGTTCACCTTAACCATCGCAAACCAGGGCACACCACTCACCTTCATGCACCAGGAGTGCGATGCCATTGTCCAGTCCATCATTCACATCCGGACGCGCTGGGAGCTGTCGCAGCCAGATTCCATCCCACAGCACACCAAGATTCGGCCAAAAGATG